TCCTCTGTAAGCAAAGATTCTTGTGCAACAATAACATCCGGGAAATAATGATCGCAAAGACCAAAGAAATTGGTAGCCGCTGAAAAAGTAGAACGGCAATTAGAACGTAACACTTTTAAAATGTCTATTTTGGTGAAATACCAGCAGCACTCACTGCTTTCTTTATATGTTATATTTAAAAAATCATTTTTTGTTGTTGTATTTTTTCTGGTATTTCTTATTCTTTGATTTGGGGTTCGCTGAGAAATCTTGTGCTTCAGGAGAAGCGAGTCTTTTGATTGTTCTTCAGTCCAATCTCATTTGTTAGGGTTGCAAGTCATGGTGACCGGAGTCAGAGCTTCAATATAGCTCCTGTTCACTAGGCACAAATTTAGAGCGAAAGCTATTATGAGATCAGAATACAGGTCACGTGCGGCGCTGTAGTTGTCCGCCGCCACCGCCAACCAGTATTGCAAGAAATATGAAAGAAATTGTGTTTCAAACCCAGGTCCACTGCATGACAGCCCAACATTTTACCACTGAGCCACGCCGGTGCTCGGAACACGTTTCTAAACTGGCCTTAGGCAGCTTTGATGTCGGGAAAGGAATTGCGTTAGTATGTGTATTAAAGCGTTTTAGAACATCAAAGGAACAACCAGACGTCACACAATAAGAATTGCGTAACGAGTGAACCATCTAATACTTCGACCCATTAGAAAACTTGTTTTTGATCACCCATTACCTGTGGCTCGTACCCACTTCAGGCATAAATATTCATCGTCGTAAGCCACTGCATAAAAAATTGCGCAACATTCTTAGTAATAGTGTAGCGGATACCACGCTTCTCCGAAGAATGGCGAAGGATAGCAAGCATGCTTCTAGCATGTACCCAAACTTACAAAGCGTGTTTAGAAAAGGCTCTGAAAGGCCGCTCTTATATATATATATATATATATATATATATATATATATATATATATAATATATATATATATATATATATATATATATATATATATATATATATATATATATATATATATATAGCTTTGGCTGTTAATGTGCTGCGCGTTCCACGCAGGCCTGGCATTTTTTCCGACCTGCGTTCGACGTGCCTGGCTTAAATTTGGCTTCGAACGGCCTGGTTCCGATGAAACCTCAGTAACCTCTGCTGGTGAAGATAGTGAAGGAGTATCAACGTATCGATTACCACCCTGCAAGACTTGTGTTACTAGAGAATTCCCTACTTGCGCCAACTGTTCCGTTGGGCTCACAGAGTTTCCCTCAACTTAGTCATCGACCTTTCCCCCGTTGATATTGTTACATCTGTCAACGACAATTTTAGCATCTGATTCGACCTGGTTGGCCTTCCCGACCGGGCCAATACATACACTCCCATCCGGGTTGTAAGTGTCTTGTAGTAACTGAGGTATGTGCGAAAGATGTAATGTCAAAGAAATGTCAACTTGCCGCGGGCAGAGAGAAGAACCTCCAATCTTCGGATTGCGCGCCCGAAGTTTTTACCAATTTATATTTGGCGGCGGCCACCTCTCATTCACATTATCGTGTATGTATGAGCATGAAACGTGGGAGTATTAGCACGGTTCGTACGAATAATGACAAGTGTGGAACACTTTCTTCTCGCCAGATAATGACACCTAGCACGTTAACCACTGCGTGGTGCCATCTGGCAAGAAGTGTTCCACACGTGCCATCATGACAAAGAGCTGACGGGAATTTTAAAGAAATTCGCGGAGCAAATATGCGCCAATTTGGGAGGCACATCACTGTACACAACCGCCAGTCGACGCACCTGTTGGTAATAGCCTCAGCAAAAATTATTTTTTTACAAAGCTAAAGCGCTTTTATATAGACTCGCACTGCCTCGGTACACTTGAGCAGAGGCTGAGTGCTGAGATGCCAGGCGGAGCGAGGTCCTCCAACTCCTTGACGTCAAGAACTGTATCAACACCGGGCAGACTCTCGAAGGCGTGGTCATTGACATTCGCCTCTCCAAAAAAGTTCCGCAAATCCCACGCACCTTGAAAATCCATGTTATGACAAGCATGTGCATGGAACGTGACAGTGTTGCAATTTTTTATTGAGCAAACGTCTCTAAGTGGCACTAAAGATACGTATAAGTGCATGCACACGCATACGTTAAACAGCCGCATATGTCTTACGTAATCAGTTGGTTGCAGTTGCGTAGCGATGCCAACAGCAAGAAGAATATTAGCAATACCAGAAACGGCAGGCGACATGAAGCGCTGGTGCTCGCGAAGATGAATGATTGATATGTGGGGTTTAACATTCCAAAACCTTTATATAGTTAATATCTCAAAGCCGCCATATGTAGTGGATGGCTCCGGATATTTCGGCCACCTGGGGTTCTTTAACGTGCACCCAAATCTGAGCACACAGGCCTACAGCAATTTCGCCTCCATCGAAAATGCAGCCGCCGCAACCAGTATTCAATCCCACGACCTGCGGGACAGCAGCCGAGTACCTTAGCTACTAGACCACCCCGGTGGGGCTGGTAGCCCTGCCGTGGTGGTTTAGTGGCGGAGCTGGCGGGGCTAGTAGAATTGTAGCCCTGGACACTGCTACATAAATACTTGAGCGGATGGCGCCTAACTACGATTGACGTTAACCCGACGTGACGGCTGTATCACAGAAGTACATATGTAATGCTTATAAAATTGGATAGCCAGCACTCCAACCAGAATTGACGTTTCACGAACATTATAGGGTCTATTTAAAAAGTAGTTCCGGCACCTGGGAGCCGTGCAGAATTTTTCAGTTGGACTCCTGCTGGCACCCTGACCTTTGTTCTTTGCATTCGTCGGGTCAAAACTGCTGGTCTCAGCCTTTAAAATTACCCATGTCTGTTCTCGCTACTCCTGGGTAGTTGTAAACTGTCAATCACCTGTGGCACATACCCTCGGGCGGGTTTGTGCCACTCGTTTGGCGGAAGGCATTTGACCATTGTAAATAAATACTCTATCTTTCAGTATAGATACTTGAAGGTGTCTACAGTACACAAAGAAAGGCTTTCTTCTCATTTATTAAGGACCCCCGTTCAACTCCGGAAGCCTTGGGCGCAACTTGTTTGCTGTCGCTGTCGCTGCAAGCAGCGATCTGGTCCCGGCTAAGCGGAAAGATGAAGGCTGAGCCATTTCACCTGCTGAATCGATAACTTCGAAGAATGCGCTCGAAGCCGCAGTCACTTATAGGGCTTGAATGCAGGACCATGTGCACATGGCTCATGGCAGAGGGCCCTTCCATCACTTTCATCCGCCATAGGGTTCAACTGTTGGCCGCCGTGCTTCTCACTGATTGGTTTTTCTTCGGTGACGCTAGAGAATGCAGGGCCATGTGGACATGGCTCATGGCATAGGGCCCTTCCATCACTTTCATCCGCCATAGGGTTCAACTGTTGGCCGCCATGCTTCTCACTGATTGGTTTTTCTTCGGTGACGCTAGAGAATGCAGGGCCATGTGGACATGGCTCATGGCATAGGGCCCTTCCATCACTTTCATCCGCCATAGGGTTTAACTGTTGGCCGCCGTGCTTCTCACTGATTGGTTTTTCTTCGGTGACGCTAGAGAATGCAGGGCCATGTGGACATGGCTCATGGCATAGGGCCCTTCCATCACTTTCATCCGCCATAGGGTTCAACTGTTGGCCGCCATGCTTCTCACTGATTGATTTTTCTTCGGTGACGCTAGAGAATGCAGGGCCATGTGGACATGGCTCATGGCATAGGGCCCTTCCATCACTTTCATCCGCCATAGGGTTCAACTGTTGGCCGCCATGCTTCTCACTGATTGGTTTTTCTTCGGTGACGCTAGAGAATGCAGGGCCATGTGGACATGGCTCATGGCATAGGGCCCTTCCATCACTTTCATCCGCCATAGGGTTCAACTGTTGGCCGCCGTGCTTCTCACTGATTGGTTTTTCTTCGGTGACGCTAGAGAATGCAGGGCCACGTGGACATGGCTCATGGCATAGGGCCCTTCCATCACTTTCATCCGCCATAGGGTTCAACTGTTGGCCGCCATGCTTCTCACTGATTGGTTTTTCTTCGGTGACGCTAGAGAATGCAGGGCCATGTGGACATGGCTCATGGCATAGGGCCCTTCCATCACTTTCATCCGCCATAGGGTTCAACTGTTGGCCGCCGTGCTTCTCACTGATTGGTTTTTCTTCGGTGACGCTAGAGAATGCAGGGCCATGTGGACATGGCTCATGGCATAGGGCCCTTCCATCACTTTCATCCGCCATAGCGTTCAACTGTTGGCCGCCATGCTTCTCACTGATTGGTTTTTCTTCGGTGACGCTAGAGAACAGCATGCGTCTCACGGACCCGCGGCCAGCGGTTCCTTCACGCACTGCTTCCCTTTTTCGAGCCACGTCAAATGTGAAGTAATCTCCTAGAATGCTGGTGAGGTCTACTTGTGGTGGAACTGTAAATGTTGTTTGACAACATACTGTAGCTGTTTCGAGCTCTCGTTCCGGTTGTCCGCCTTTGTTCACACCAAACCCTTCAGCGCCTAGCGTAGAGCTTTTTACCTTTGATGGAGACTCGCATGGCGATGGGACGATTTCCTTAGATGAAAAGAACCTGTCGATTGCTTCTTGAACCTCGTCCTCGCACGGGAAGTAGGACTCTTTCGGTTGCTCAGAACTCGGCTGTTCTTCATCAAAGTTTACCGGAAACATTTCGGCCAACTGATCGATGGACCAGCTGAACGATCTTGAAAGTGGCGACTCTTCCGGGGTTCTCTTTTGGAACAATGACGGTGAACACAGTTGTCCGGTTAGCTGCTCGGGTAGCAGCTCGAATGGGTTCCTTCTGCGGTATATTTTACTGCCGATGTTACTCTGGCTACCACTGCTGCTGCGGCAGCAATGGATACCGCGTCCAGACTGAGACACGTCATCAGCCAGTGCACTTGTCTGCGAGCCAGGGGATTCGGGATCGCTGAGGGTAAGTCAACCCCTTCACTCTCCATCACAGGGTCCCCGCTGATGTTGTAGCACCCGTGGTGTCCAACCGCGTCCGTGTCAACCGTGTCGAAGTTACAAGGTATGCGAGAGTTCTGGATACGCTGCGCCACTTCGACGAGGTTCAGACGTATCTTGATCAGAAGCGGCGGAAGGAGCAGCGGTCACCGGTTTCAGTGGGCGTAGTAGTTGTTGTTGTTCTCCTATTGTTAGTGGCGTATACCCACTGTGGTGGATTGGCCAAGAATCGAGTGGTTTTAAAATTTACTGTTCGGAATTGGAATGATGGAGGTATAACAGAGTAGTAGTTTTGTTTTGTCGCCCAAAAGATCTTGGCTCATACCCACAAGGGGGATTTTCACGCTGTACTTCATAAAGAAAATTGCAATACAATGTTTCTTAAAGAGATGAGAGAGCAAAATCTGAGAAGAACGAAACGTGACGTACATAAAGCAAGAAAAGTGAAAAAGGGCAAAAGGATTTGAAAAGCCGGAGATGAGAGATAGAAGAAAGAAGGAGGAAAAAGAACTGTATTCATCTGGTGGTACCACAAGCAACGCATCTTTCCGGTTACCTGAACAAATTTATGTAGCGCGGACAGAATAGCACTGCGGGCTGTATCCAACTGACTGGCTACAACGATAAATGGTTGGAATCGTGCCGGTGCAGTGTTTTCATCTTTCGCTGATTTCCATCCACAACAAAATGTGTCGAGCTTCGTCGCCAATAGATAGATACCGTGAATAGAAAAGACTATGAGCTTAATAAATATGAACGAGCAAGTAGACTTACTGCGTATATTCAAGCGCGACCCCAACTACCACGCTTACAATGAAGTCGTGTAGGCGCCACTGCGCCGTCTTCAGATGCGAAAACAACCAGCGCAAGAGTATGAACTTTTCCGATCAGGTTTCCATCGTCACTGTAAAACTCCGAGCTCCGCCACTATAGTGGATATAATCACAATCGACAGGAAAAATTACGAGCCCCAGTGAAAGTGAACGAGTAAGTACTTATTGCGTGTACAGACTCAAACGCGACGCCAGTTGTTCCACTTTAAAGCAGCGATTTGCGTGTAGAATGTCTGTAATATGTGGCACCAAATAATTGCCGTACTCTTTCACAGACCGCATGCAAATAATAGGATACATTATGACTCGCGCGTGGATACACGCACCACGCACGTTTAGTACAATTGTAACGGCGTTCTATCACGACGCAACAGAGACGTGAACGGCGCCGAAAGCATGGCTTTCGACTCAGTGGAACTTCGACATGCCTTGACTGTCACTAGGTGAATCTGTGCTTTCGGCCAGCGTCACCGCAGCATTTTAATATCTTGTTCTGGCTAGCACTTTAGCACCGCGGGTGTGTTCCGAGTGCCCGGCATGGCTGGAAAATGATAAACAAAGGTGGTGCATGAGGGCAAGCTGGAGCAAGTTTCTATGGCTACGTTGACGCCGGCTTGCAGCACAAATTTTGCCTTGTCACAGCCAAGGCACGCAGCAGTTCGACTGAGTCAAAAGCAGCGCTTTCCGCTGTTCGCGTTTCTCTCAATCGCGATAGCGCGATGAAGTTGATTCCACAATCTTCATTGCACGTGCTGCAGAAATCCCGGACTGTCGAGGAAAGTCTCCTCGACGTTTCACACGAAATCAGCACGACATTCCAGTAGAGAAGAGACGCGAAACATCATTACAGCCCGACTCAGGTTGTGAAGTTTCGCGCTTGATTTGCGGAGTGTCTGCTCGCGTGGCAGTGCAAGGTGTTAGCTTCATCGCGTTTGCAACAAATGGCGCGACGCACTTTTCAATGTGGCAGCAAACACTGAGATCGCTGTGGCCTGGTGTGTACACAAACCTAACAAGTTCACTACGCTATACAGTACGAAGTAAGCGTGGATTATTGGGCGCGCGGCCCACCACTGGAGGAGCGGGCGCTGCAATTGCGGTGACGTGCATTGTAGGATCACGTGATTTCGCCTCGCTCTGCAAAGGAAAGCTGGCGGTTGGATGCGTTGTTTTTTAACTGCGACTACGCGGTGCTTTCACTTCTGAACAGCGTTGGTTTACACTCACTTCATGTCTGCGGACTACTACAGACTACACAATCCGGAACGTTGCAGTAAAAGTTATCGGCGGCGCGTCACAGCGCGCTACGTACGCGATGCCACTGTCACAGCCTCTGGCAGTACCACTGTCACCTCTCTCTTTCTATGTTTTGGTTAATAATTCAAGCCTCTGCGGCTAAAATGAGCACCGACCCCGATTGTTCACATAAAAGCAGAACGTTTCAGTTACCGCACAGGAGCCTCGTTGACAGGAAAAAATAAATGTGAAAACAGTCCTATTAAGCATATTTTAAAATACGACATACATGCGTACAAGTGGAAGTTGCCGTGATTGGATGTAAGAAATTATGCCATCGTCTAAATTGTCAAAGAGTCCAGATACAGTTCGGAAGTCTAGTTTTTCCCCTAATTTTTCTTAATTTAACCCTATTCTGGTCTATTTCATGGCCAGTTGCTTTTGCGTGTTCAGCCAGTGCATTCGACGAAACCTTCTTTCTCACGTGATGCATGTGCAGTTCTTGTCTGCTAAAGCTACTTCTCTCGCTAAGGTAACTTTTACCACAGTTTGCGCCAACCCCCACTCTCCTCCCCGGATGTCTGTCCCCATGTGTGTACCAGACCACACGGGTTTCCGCCCGCCAGTGATGTAGCCAAGGGTTAGCACACCAAGCCCATGCTTCTCCCCCCCCCCCCCCATGTTTTGTTTATGGCATATAGCGCTCAAAATAACAGTCTACCGCATCTGCTTGCCTGGCCGCCAATCTTAATCAAGGTGGTGCCCCCTCCGGAAGTTTCAGCCTACGCCCCTGCCATCCACGACTTCAGCTAACATGGTTCCTTGCTTCTATGTCTGCAGAATTGTCCCATAGCCACTGTCACTTCATCTCAATGTTGTTTTGATCTACAGGCGGAAACGCGGTCAGCTACGAAACTGATTCATCTTCTGACAGTTGCCGTGAAATGTCACACAGGTTATGAGTGAAGCTGTAAAAAACTTAGACGCTGGCATTTTTACTGAAACATAAAATCGCCGTTTAGACCACGGTACGCAACACGTGGTGTCATTACGAGTATCATTACGAGTATCATTACGGAGTGTGCAGTGGAAGTTGGAGGCAGGGTAGTTAGACAAGACACTGGCAAGCTTTCCCAGGAAACGAAGAACCTAATTAAGAAGCGTCAAATCATGAAAGTGTCAAGTACAACAGACAAAATAGAACTGGCAGAGCTTTCGAAGTTGATTAATAGACGTAAGGTATGCGATGTAAGAAGGTATAACATGGAGAGAATTGAACACGCTCTGAAAAACGGAGGAAGTGTCAAAGCATTGAAGAGGAAACTTGGGATAGGCAAAAGTCGGATGTATGCACTAAGGGACAAAGAAGGCAAAATAACTACCAATATGGATAGGATAGTTAAAATAGCAGAGGAGTTTTACAGAGATCTGTACAGTAGCCGTGACAACCACGGCCTTAATACTATAAGAACTAGCAGTAACCCAGATTACACCCCACCAGTAATGATAGAAGAAGTCAGGAAAGCTTTGGAGAGCATGCAAAGGGGCAAAGCTGCTGGTGAGGATCAGGTAACATCAGATCTGCTGAAAGATGGAGGACAGATTGTGTTAGAAAAACTAGCCACCCTGTTTACGAGGTGCCTCCTGACGGGAGGAGTACCAGAGTCTTGGAAGAACGCTAACATCATCTTAATACATAAGAAAGGAGATGACAAGGACTTGAAGAATTACAGGCCGATCAGCTTGCTCTCTGTAGTATACAAGCTATTTACAAAGGTAATTGCTAACAGAGTAAAGAAAACATTAGAATTCAATCAACCAAAGGAACAAGCAGGATTTCGAACAGGCTACTCAACAATTGACCACATTCATACTATCAATCAGGTAATAGAGAAATGCTCAGAGTATAACCAACCCCTATACATAGCCTTCATAGATTACGAGAAAGCGTTTGATTCAGTAGAAATATCAGCCGTCATGCAAACACTGCGGAATCAGGGCGTAGATGAAGTATATATAAACATTCTGGAAGAAATCTACAGGGAATCAACTGCTACCATAGTGCTTCATAAAGAAAGCCACAGAATACCAATCAAGAAGGGTGTAAGGCAGGGGGACACAATTTCCCCAAAGCTATTTACCGCGTGCTTACAGGAGGTTTTCAGAAGCCTAGAATGGGAACAGTTAGGGATAAGAGTCAATGGAGAATACCTTAGTAACCTGCGCTTCGCCGATGACATTGCATTGCTGAGTAACTCGGGGGACGAATTGCAACTCATGATTACGGAGCTAGACAAGGAGAGCAGAAAGGTGGGTCTTAAAATTAATCTGCAGAAAACGAAAGTAATGTACAACAACCTCGGCAAGGAGCAGCGCTTCGAGATAGGTAATAGTGCACTTGAAGTTGTAAAAGACTATGTATACTTAGGGCAGGTAATAACCGCAGAGCCGAACCACGAGACTGAAGTAACTAGAAGAATAAGAATGGGGTGGAGCACATTTGGCAAGCACTCTCAAATTATGACAGGTAGTTTGCCACTATCCCTCAAGAGGAAGGTATATAACAGCTGTATCTTGCCGGTACTTAGCTACGGAGCAGAAACCTGGAGACTTACAAAGAGGGTTCAGCTTAAATTGAGGACGACGCAGCGAGCAATGGAAAGAAAAATGGTAGGTGTAACCTTAAGAGACAAGAAGAGAGCAGAGTGGATTAGGGAACAAACGGGGGTTAAGGATATCATAGCTGAAATCAAGAAGAAGAAATGGACATGGGCAGGGCATGTAGCGCGTAGACAGGATAACCGCTGGTCATTAAGGGTAACTGACTGGATTCCCAGAGAAGGGAAGCGGGTTAGGGGGAGACAGAAGGTTAGGTGGGCAGATGAGATTAAGAAGTTTGCGGGTATAAATTGGCAGCAGCAAGCACAGGACCGGGTTAACTGGCGGAACATGGGAGAGGCCTTTGTCCTGCAGTGGACGTAGTCAGGCTGATGATGATGATGATGATGATGATGATGACGCAACACGTACCTTGCCGCATTCACCTTCGAGGGCGCAAAATGATACGGCTGGCGCGCAGTGCATTGGCTATGGTAGTCGAGCCCGATCGGAATCGCATTTT